GGGGTGGGCCCGCCTGCCCGCCGCTGCCCATCCCTGCCACCGGCATGGGGACGCAGGGGCTGGGAATAACTTTTCTGACTTTGCCTCTCGTCGTGCAAGCAGCCGCGGGAGGTGAGATGCTCTGCCTGCCCACTGTCCTCCCGGGCATCTGAGGTGGCCGGAGGGAACGGGGGTTCCCGTGGTGGGAGAGGACGGGGGGTGGCGGGGTGCCGGGCTGGGGTGCACCTGTGCCAGCCCTGTTTATTCCCTTCCCTTTCCCACATGCCTGGGGGTGACACGGGGCCGGGGTGCTGGGGGCAGCCACGCCAGCAGGGCTGGAGGCAGGGACTGGGGGACCTGGTCTGGCCCAGGAGCCGTCTCCTGCCCTCCCACCATCCTCCTCCCCACTGGAGGATGTCCCTGCTGTGCCACGGGCTCCGGGAGGTCTCGGTCTGCCCAGGGCTGTCTCTCCTGGCAGGAGGTGTCCAGGCTGGGGTCCCTTCAGGGTTGGTGGACATTCAGGCGTTTGGGTCTTGGGCTTCAGTCCATCTGCCCGACAGACCTGCACCACCGGGAAACACCGACGAGGAGGAAACCTCCGAGCAAACCGGCGGTGCCGAGGCACTGGGGTGCTCACCTGCTTTCAGGCCAGGCTGGCAGCAGCGAGCGTTGCTCTGGCTCCTGCTGGAGGATGCTCGAGTTCGGGTGAGGGCTGGTGGGTGCGGATCCGAGGGTCTCCCAGGAGCTCGGCTTCCCCCTGGACAGGGAGGAAAGCCTGAGGTCCCTGCCCTGGGGACCCTCTGAGTCCTGCACTGTCCCGGTCCTGGCTCTTCTCTGGGGCTGGTGTCTCCTGTACCGCCGTAGCGAGGATTTGGATGTGGTGCTGCAGGCTGGGGCCACGAGCAGCACAGGTGGAGGCAGGCAGGGCTACCTTCATCCTGCTGGTCTAAGTTGCCATGGCTGGCACGAGAGTGTGGCTCGGCTTGCCTGCAGCCGGCCCACTGGCATGGCCCCTCAGCCATCAGTGGGGACTGCTTGCGTAGGCTGGCCCCAGGCAGCACCCCGGGCACCAGCTCTGTGCCTCCTGCCAGCAGCAGGATGGGGAGCTGAGGAGAAAAGGGGCATGCTCCCCGGCTCCCATTGCAGAGCTGATGGCCCTGGGCAGATGTGCATACAGCAGGAGCTGGGCTCCGGCTTCCTGGGCATCCCCTCGGCATCCCGGGTATCCCCTCAGCATCCCTTCAGCATCCCTGCATCTGCTGCACCAGCACCTGGCATGGAGCGTGCAGTCCCCGTAGCCACTCCGAGCGCAGGCAGCAGCGCTGGTGGGAGTTCGGCAGCTCCGGCTGAGGTGGCCCCGAGCGACGATTGACGGGGCAAGCAGTCGCCCCACAGCGTGGGTGCAGGCCTGCCCACCGCCACCCCCTGCCTGCTGCAGCCCCCAGCAACTGCCTTCTGCTGCCAGCCCACTCCCAGAGAGCCGCGGGAAGCACCGGGGAAGGGCTGCAGCAGCCCCCCCAGCTCCCTGCTCACCCAGGGCTGCTGGGGGGCGGGCGAGGCGTCTGCTGTGGGGTGAGGGGCTGCGTCAGCTCCCCAGGATGGGTAAGGGTGGGACAGCCCCACAGCAGCAGGGGAAGGAGCCCCGCAAGCAGCAAGGTTTGGCTGCTGCGGAATGGAGCAATGCCGAGGGAGGTTTCCCTGCAGAGTGGCCGGGGGAGGCAGGGAGGGTGCGAACGCGTGAAAACACCAGCGCCGAGAATAACTGGGATGAACACGAGTGCCGGCGGGACCCCTGGCTGCGATGAGGGGGGCCCTCGCCATCGGGGGGCCGGGCATGGCCGTGGGTGGGTTTGGGAAGCGGGTGCCTGTCTCCGTCACCTGCCCTGAGCTCTCCTCTCTCCTGCAGGGCAGTGGTGTTACGACTCGCAGGACCCCGAATGCGGTGAGTGGTGCCATGTGCGGGATGGGGGTGTGAGGGCTGTGCGGGGCTCAGCCCCCACGTCTCCCCACAGTGCCCGGCCGAGGGCACCCTGGGCACCATCAGTGAGGCCACAGCGGGGAGTGTAGCTTGGAGAAGACAAATTCACCCATGTCACACCAAGGTTAGGGGAGCTTCACTTTCAGGTGTGCTGGTGTAGAGACTGGACACAAGCGCCTGAGCCCCTCGGAGTGGCTCGGCCCCAGCCCCCTGCCCCAGCCAGGTCTGGGTACTCCTGGGGCAGCACCAGCCTCCCCCATTTCACCTGAAGCAAATTTAAGCCCAAATTTAAAATACGTCATTAGCAACGCCAGCGAGGCGCAGGCATCGGGGGGACCATGGGGAACAGGGGCCTGGCTCGAGGAGGGATGGCTCCATTTGGGCAAGCAGCAAGCCCTGCCTGCCCCCGCTGGGGACACTTTGTCTCGAAGCATGCAAATAGCTTGTAAAAGGTTAATTAAGGATCAATGAGCATTTAATCAGCCGTTACGGCCCAACTGTTTTATAGCTCTTGAGTGCACGCGCCCTGTGCCCAGCCACCGTGGTCCATCAGCCGTGAATCGCTGGGCCCTGCTTATCCCTGCCGGCCCAACACTCGGTGTCACTGGCAATTTAACCTCATCGAGCCGGCGGCGAGGGCAGATTTCAGCGGGGCCAGCAGGAAGCGGCTTGGGCAGCATGGAGCCGGTCACAAGCCCGCAGCAGGGCTGCGGGGAACGGTTCCTTAATGAAGGCACTGGATAATTTGTGGGGCCACCCAGTAGCACCATGCCAGGGGTGCGGCGGCACGGCCAGGCTGCGGCTCCTGGGGTTTCCAGGCAAAAAGCTGCCTGGAGTAATGAGAGGAGAAGGGAAGGAGACAGGGCTGAGCCCCGGGGGGCAGGAGGTGGGGGTGAGCATGTGTCTGTCGTTTTGACTGCCCAAGAGGAAGGTAGGTAAAGGCGAGAACTGAGCCATGGGGCACTGCTGGGGGAACAGCCCTCCAGACCTTGCTTGTAGGGGGATATGGGTGGGTAACAGTGTGTGGCTGCCCACCACGATGGGTGCCAGAGCACAGCCAGCAGTGCCCGTGGAGGGATGCCGAGCTCCCCTGGGACTGGGGGTGCCCTGGGTGGATGAGGCTGGAGACTCTAGGGGAGCACCCGTTCCCTGGCTGCAGCCACAGCCCAGCTGCCGGCAGTGCCCGGTGCCGACACCTCTGCCTGGGCATCTGCAGCCCGAGCTGCCCCAGGGCCACAAGGCGGAGGAGCGGGGTGTCACGGCAGCTGCACTGGAGCAGTGGCCAGCAGTGTCCCGTGGCTGTGGACTGCAGTGAGTGTTGCAAGAAGAGATGATGCTGGGGTGATGAGGACACTGAGCCACACGTAGGGGATGTGTGGGGTCTGGCCGTGGTGGCAGCTGTGGGGACCTCTGCTCACAGTGCCCGGGCAGTGCTCCGGGTATGCAGCAGGTCCAGCTGGCTGCCGGCACTGCCGCATCCTCACCCAGCTCCTGCCACGGTGACCCAGGAGCTGCCGACGGGCATCGTGTGGTCACCCTGGACCTGACATGGGATTTGCCCCAGGATGAGTTGCGTGGCCAGGACGCGCCGTCACCTGCCACAACTGGACAAAACCAGCATGAGTAGGGTAAAATGAGGTTAAAAACCAAACTGTGTGCTCTGCGAATGGGCCTTAAGCCCTCTGTCCCCCCTTCTCAGCGGCTCCTGTCTGTCCTTCCCTCGCAGGCGCTGTATTTTGCTCCTTCTGCATAGAGCAGCCCCCGGCCCAGCCCCAGCGTGAGCCCCAGCCTGGGGGCTGTGGGGGGAGCGGTGGCTGGTGCAGCCCCGCAGCGGGGGGTTTGCTTGCAGGGTCAGGCAGCAGAGGCTGAGAGAAAAACCTGCCCTTCACCAGTGGCAGCACGGAGGGACAGACGCTGCTGCCGGGCTAAATATAGCCCCTGGACCCATGAGGAAATCCTGATGAATTATGGATGAGGCTGCAATAAGCCCCCGCTCATCAATAGGGAGGAAGGTTGGCTGGGCAGGAGGGCAGGTCCTGCGGGATGCAGGCAAGTGCGGCAGGGACAGCAGGGCTGGCTGGGGACCCGGTCACCCTCGGCCTCGTGTCCCCCCCGGTGGTGGCAGCGGCTCAGCAGCTGCCCACAGTGCCTCTGCCTCTCCTCTGCAGGTCCCAGCCACTGGAAGGAGCTGAAAGCCACGTGCGGTGGCGACAAGCAGTCCCCGGTGAACATCGACAAGCGCCGGCTGCAGCGGGACGGTGGCCTCGGGGACATCCTCTTTGAGGGCTATGACCAGGCTCCCCCGGCCAAGTGGAGGCTGGCAAACGACGGGCACACAGGTGCGTGCTGCGGCCAGGCACCCTCCCCTGCCCCTGCTCCCCAGGCACTGTCCTGGCTGGGGCTTGGCTCCGCCACTGCTCCTGGGTGCTCTCTGCCCTCGAGCTGCAGGGTCCTGGGGCAGCTCCTGCCCCGTGGGTTTGCGTTAGTGCTGGGATGAAGCTTGGGGAGCACAAACCCTGTGGTCTGCTGCGGGGAGAGATACGGGGCTGTCCCCCATCCTTACCCCGTCTGGCTGCCCTTGCAGTGATGCTGAGCCTGGCGAGCGAGTCAGCCTCTGAGCACATCACCATCAGCGGTGGAGGTCTCCCCGGCAAGTACCACGCGCTGCAGCTCCACTTCCATTGGGGCAGCCTGGCTGGGAACGGCTCTGAGCACACCCTCGATGGGCGCCAGCTCCCCATGGAGGTAGGTGAGAAAATACACCCATCAGGCTCTCTGGGTGGCCCGAGTCCTTGGCATGATGGGAAGGTGTGATACTGGTGCGTCCCAAGGCTGCCATGCAGCGGGGTGACCGGGCTTGGTGACGCTGCACCAGCGGGTTCGGCCGTGCTCCTTGTCACTGCAGCCTTGCGCTGATGGTGGGATACAGACAGCCGCTGCACCGGGCACCTGGGTGGTTAAAAATCAGCTGACACGAGACTCAAGGTTTTTCTTTACCGTGCGTGGGCCAAGCTGCCTCGTCAGAGGCACTCAGCGGGGTTTGGAGGGCTCTGCGCCCTGCCGGGACCGCCCGCTGAGTCAGTGAATGCAAGCAAGAGCGTGTGGGAGCATGCTGTGCCAAGCGCGTCGGGATCCTTCTGGGTGAAAGAGGCTCTGAGCCTCTAAAATATTAATTATCTGCAAGAGGAGAGGAAAATTTATGTATTGCAGCTGGTGGGTGCCCCAGGACCACTGGCCCCCTTTCCCCACCTCTTCAAAGGATGCTCGCTTCATTCGGGTGCTTTGATCTTCCAGGCAGCCACCCTGCAGAAGTGCCCATGGGACCAGGAGGGTGGTTGGGGGGTCTGGGGGTGGTTGGGTCAGCATCTGGCCACCCCAGACAGGCTGGGGAGATCTGTGGGTGAGTGCTCCGCTGCCGGAGGGTCAGCTGGGGGCGGTTGCCCACACTTGGCCCCTCCAATGCTTTCCCCAGCTGCATATTGTCCACATCAATGTCAAGTACCGGACGCTGGCAGAGGCCAAGGGGCATCCCAACGGGCTGGCCGTTCTCGGCTTCTTCTTCCAGGTGGGTCTGCGGGGGCTCACGCTGCCGGCGGGAGGGGACCCCCTGGGAACAGGCTGCTCATGGTGCGGCTGGGCGAGCATTGCACGGCTGCCCCGAGGGAGCGAGAAGGGGCAGGAGGGCTGGGTCAAGGCCAGGAGGTGCTGGGGAAACCTCAGTGCTCAAAGTGCCATGACCCCCCCGCCAGCTTCATGCAAGGGGGTGCCGGCTGGGAGCTCACCCATCCCCACCGCTGCTCTGCAGTGATGGGGGGCTGGCGCTGGCTCTGCCTGAGGATGCTCGGCGGTGCAGGATGACCCGGTTCTGCCCTGCCCCAGACGCTTACTCTCCCGTTCCGCAGGTCTCCGAAACCCCTAACACCAACTACAACACCATTGTGGCGGGGCTGAGGAACGTCTCCCATGCTGGTGAGTCGCCTCCTCATTGGGGCAGGGACAGAAAGGGGAAAGACCCCGGTGCGGGAGGGCAGGAGTGCGCCCCAGTGTTTGGGGGGGGGGGGGGTGCCCTGCCAGTCCGTGGGGCCATCTGGCTGAAGGGAAACTGATGGGGCTGGCCCTGCTGTCCCAGCCATGTCCCCGGCATGGGACAGGCTGAATGCCCATGTCTCGCCTCGCAGGGGACTCGGTGGATTTGGCCTCCACCTTCCGCCTGAGCACCCTGCTGCCGCATGCCGGCCGGCTCTCCGGGTATTACCGCTACCAGGGCTCCCTCACCACCCCCGACTGCAGTGAGGTCGTCGTCTGGACCGTCTTCGAGGAGCCTGTGGAGATCAGCCGGGAGCAGGTACTAGCGTGCACGGCCCCCACTCTCCGATGCCTGAAGGGCTGGACCCCCCGGGTGGCCCCTCTCCTTGCCCTTCCTGACCCCTAAGCAAGAGCACAGGGAAAGTCATCTCTATAATAACGCTCCCGGCAACGTGGCAATTAATTAATTTTATGAGGGTTAAGTAACAGAGCTGTGGCCACCTGCCAGCGGGGAGAAATCTCCTCTGTAGCACTCTCCTGCCCAGCCCCAGTATTCAGAAAGCGCAATGGGAGCAAACCCATTGGAGCTCAGATGAGGCTCCAAGGAGGTGGGTGGATGGGTGGATGGATGGATGGATGGATGGATGGATGGATGGATGGATGAAGTGAGTGAGTGAGTTCTCCTCTGCTGCCCAAGCATCTTAGTAGACGTATTTCCTTTACGGTGTAATGGGCCAGCTGTTCCTTAAGTGCTCAGCGCAGGCACTGAAACACGATTAGCCCCTTTAAAACTCAAGAGCTCATCCTTGCAAGGCCCTGCTTACCCGCCGGGTCTGGTTTTGGGAGAGCGGTGAGGGGTGGTGGGGCCAAGCCACAGGTGCTGTGCCATCGGCAGCAGGGCAGCACGAAAGGGGGCTCACAGGCGGGGGGGGCCTCGGGGCGCCTGGCGAAGCGGCTGCCCACCCTGCCTCTCCCCCTGTGCAGCTGCGGGCGTTCGTCAGCACCCTCCATTTCCCGGCTGCCGGCTCCCAAATCCCTAAAAATACCAACAAA